AACTGTAATAATGAAAATAATAATGATAATGGCAAAATAATGATAAGCACAACAACAATAATAATGATTATCCTAATCATTATCATTATTAGTAGTATCATAATAGAAAAAAATGCATACAATAAAAATAATAAAAATAATATTTAAAAAAATAAATGATGAATAATGGTAATAACAACACCATCAATAACAAAAAGAATAATAACAAGCGTATGAAAAAATACATAATCCATTTTTTCCAAGGACAGCCGTAAAATGGTAGACTAACGGATATGTATATTTCGATCCAAAGTCACAAACCCCAAAACAAACCGGAGAAGTGAAGACAACGTCCATTTAAAAGATACCCTCTCACCAGAAAAATACTTCTAAATGATGATCGCTATAACGGTGTATCAGTGAATCTGTACTTTAAGACAGAACATTTAGGATTTAGGGATTTACATTGCTTGCTTTGCATTACATGAATAAAAAGGCTTGAGAGTAATTATATTAAAAGAATTTGCCATATGCTTTCTGTCATAGGCATGGTATATTATGTCATTTATCATAATCCCTAATATGACGCTAAAAACATAAGAGAAATATAGAATCACTGATTTGGCTATAGCTTAACAAAATTAAACAATAACATTTAACCACCATACCTTGAGCTTACTGGCAAAGGAATAACTTAAGGAAATAACAAAATTTGGAAATGGAATAGCTAGCATTTCTCGAAATTAAATGCCTTTCTTGGTTCAACGCACAAGCAGACATCATAGATGTATGTATCTTTACCATATTATGAAATACAAGCTCCAATGTCTATACAGAAATGCAAAAAAATATATATATATAAAATAAAAAATAATAACAATAATAATTAACTTATTATATTATCTTTATTATCTTTATTCCACATAGCCACGGGCTCTTTCTTCCTAATGGTATCATAACATGCCTTGCTTTCTTTGATAATAATACAGATGTTACAATATTCCTTAATATTCATAATTTGCCTCATTTTCATGTCATTTCCCGAAGTAGCTGCATCATTATCCCTTTACCAGCTTCATATGAGTTACTTGCAGATTTCATTGGTGACAACAGCTGCATTCTATACTGGACAACCATTTGATGTGATAACTCATTTGTTGCACATCAAAATGTAATTAACATTGCACAATCTATTGTATATCATCATTATCTGTTTCAGATAGCACATTATCACTGCATTTATAACAACCTATAAGCAAATACATCTTTACATTTTCATTACATTCAGGACTACCGCTTTTCACTACACAAGCAACATTACAGTTTTACATTTCTCTCTTTCACTGCATACAGGAAAGTCCTCCATTTATTATGAGGTCTTACTCAAACCACCTTCTGGAAAACAGTCTCTGATTTATTTAAAGCCATCTGCCTCCCCATGTATAATTCTGGAATAAAATTAAGGCACAAAAGAAGTCATGCAAAGTGTAGCAGCCCCTTTGTGTTTACACCCTCTAAGTAATAGTTAAAATAATCACAATCAGTTGCAGATCTTTGGTGTTTGTACATTCATCTTTCCGCCCTATATAAGTGGGGGTCCCTCCTGTAGCAATTATAAGTATATTATTGCCAATTAAAAATATATATACAAGTATTCAATTCATAAATGTTCTGCAAATTTTACCATAAGATTAAAACAGAAAAAAGTATCAATAACCTTGGCAAAATTCATTCACAACCTTATTTTGTGCATAAAACTTTTTAAAAAATCAGAAATATCTTCTATATCCATCTTTGCAGTCATTTTTTTATTTATTCATAACTAAGAAAAAAATATGAGACATTAACTTATGCAATATAATAACTACATTTTCAGTCATAAATATGTAATATCCATTACATTCTCCTGGAATGTGTATGTCAATACAACTGATCTAACACTATAAAATAAACTTTTATATATCTTATTCTTACTTCTTATCTGGCTTCTTTAATCATTCACCAAGGCATTGTTTATACTCACCTCTATATCTAACATACAAACACTCATATACTCTGATTCCATTTAGTGGAAGGTTGGCATATTACCTGAGGTGTTTCTCTGTTACCTATGAATTTACTTTGTTGGTCCTAAATATAGAGTGACTTTGCAGTCACTTTCTAAACATAATAACTTACAAGGTAATATTCACAGTCATTCTACAGCATCTCAAAAATATGGTCATAGAATGTTCTTCCTATAGAAAGACTATCTTTTACTTAGTCATGGAAAATCAGAAGTACATAAACCTGTTTACAAACACAACCCATAAGACTTAACCTAGCAAAGACATCATTCTTTGCTAAACACAAGCACACACATTTTGTACAAATAGAATATCATATATATATACTTATATATATATATATATATATATATATATATATATATATATATATATATATATATATTATATATATATATATATATATATATATATATATAATTATATATATATATATATATATATATATTATATTATATATAACAT